CGACAGAAAATTAACGCAGTGACACTTTCCAACGGAAAATCCATCACCCCCTACACAAACGACAACACCTCAGAAGACCAACCCATAATCTTCGACAACGAAGGTTACGACGAAACACAACTACTGGAAGGAATGAAACACGAGTCAAACCAAATGAAGCTACGTGACGTCTACGACGAAGTAGATGCGTCTACCGTCGACGACAACGTCATCAGAGAAGCGATACCTACAAGATGGGTACACAGAAAGAAAGGACCAGGAGTACGAAGCCGAATCGTCGCAAAAGGCTACACAGAGAAAGATCGAGGACGAAGACTCCGTCTACGCCTCTACACCAATGTTCACGACACTCCGGACACTTCTCGCACTACAAATGTCACGACCAAACTGGATAGCGCGACTAGGCGACGTCTCTACAGCATTTCTACACGCACCCATCGCAAAAGACCACGACGGTAAACAACGTGACGTCTACCTTTGGCCACCTAAAGAACTTTGTCCACAACAGGACAAAATCTGGCGACTAAAGAAAGCCATGTATGGACTACGCAGTTCACCAAAAGCATGGCAGGACTACCTGGCTGAAGTGTTACAAAAGCTCAGCTTTGTAAGACTAAAGTCAGAACCTAACGTCTACACCAATGCGACTCGCGACTGCTACATCATGGTCTACGTGGATGATCTCTTGGTACTTGGTGACAAGACTACTGTCGACTCCACCTTCGAGGCCATCCAGAAGCAGGTCCTACTCAAGCACATCGGCTACCTCGAACCTGGCAAACCACAACAATTTCTTGGAAGAAACATCGACCACTTTGGCAACTACTGCAATCTTGGACTAAAGGACTCCTACATCGACAACATGATCGAGGAGTCTGGAATGAACAACTGCAACTCAGTGAACACTCCAGGAATTGCACACTACAAACCAACAATAGAAGATGAAGCACTACTTGACCACGAACAACACAAAAGGTACAGAAGGATTGTTGGCAAACTTCAATGGTTAGCATACACACGACCAGACATTGCATACTCCACAAAAGAACTAGCACGAGACCTCACAGCACCTACAGAACTTTCACAAAAGAGAGTCAAACATCTACTACGCTACTTGCACGGCACCAAGCACTACAAATTCACCATAGAACCAACAACAACACTCAGAGCAAACACCAACAACATCCTGGATCTCGACGTTCATGTCGATGCCGACTGGGCAGGATGCCCTACTACCAGGAAGTCCACGTCAGGTTTCAACATCCACTTCCTTGGAACTACAGTTGCATTCGGCAGCAGAACACAGGCTACAATAGCACTAAGCTCAGCAGAATCAGAACTTTAAGCAATATGCACAGGAGTTAATGAGGGACTACACCTCAGGAACCTCCTACTTGAAACCAACATTTGCAGCAAGCTCAACCTACGCATTCACACAGACTCCACAGCAGGCAAAAGCATAGCTACACGACAAGGCACCAGCAAACGAGCAAAACACATCGACCTCAAATTTCTCCACACACAAGACCTCATCAAGCACGACATCATCAGTATTCTCAAAATAAACACACTTCACAACAGCTCAGACCTGTTCACAAAATACATCAGCAAAGAAACACTACAGAGGCTCATACAGAGCATTGGCATACGCGTTTAGCACTACGAACAACAACTGTTTCACATCAACCACAACAGTTTGTATATGGCCATATGTAACTACTTGCATGTAAGTAACAGTAACAGTAACTACAAGTCACAGTAATTGTAACCACCAGTAATTTGCACTTACACGTTTGGCGGCTTTTGGCGGCTTGGGACAACATTACATGTTGTTTTGTTTTACTACATTCCCGCATGTGTTTTTGTGAGCTACCATTTGGCTCACTACTTTGCCCCGTCTCACCTCGTTTGCTTGATCGCACTACCAGCAATGTCTGGACCCATGGATGCGACTATGACCGCGCCTGAGACTACTGTGACAGCACAGCAGATTGGTACTACTACACCTGACCGAGTTTCGACACCACCAAACCAACCATCCACTACAGATTCCAGCAGCATGGTCTCTGTGGCACCTCCGCCACCTGCGACGTACAATGCCCTCAACTACCACTTCAACCACCAACTACCGACCACTGCACCATTCTACAGGCCCGATGACATCCTGAACCACCTTACTACTCGAGTACAACAACAGTATTCACACTCCAACTGTGGATCAGGGACAAAACTACCCTGAGGTCTATGTGGGGCTGACCTTGGAGGAGTATCAACTACTCAGCCAACAGCAGACCACGCCAGTGCCAGACCTCGACTACCAACGGCCAATCCACAACCTGCCATCAGACCTACGAATGCCCCTCTACGATTCACTACCACTCAGCCTACGCTTCGCAGAAGCGTTCAACTTCTTTTACTACAACTTGACTTCCCTACACCTCACCACATCACACACCAACTCCATGATCATCGTTCGACTGCATCTCCCTCAAGAAATCTTGTCACTAGCAGCGGCCCCTCATCAACTTTTCGCGTGACTACTTGAGTCACATGGTGTCAGTCATTGGCCAACATCACCTACCCACTCGGCAACTACCCCAACGACTTCACAAGATCAACTACGACATGAACCAGATCACCACCACCTTCAACCTGTCCAACAACTACATCTGGAACTACCACATGCCTCTTCACCTTCCTGAACTACTCAGCTACTACGACCAACCACAACAACTACAGGATCACCACTACAAAGCAATCAACACCATCATGCACAAGAGCTCCACGTACTACGGCTTCACACTACTCACTGCCACAAATCTTCCCATGCAACACAAACTACTACTACACACACTCCTCACTACATTTCAACAACCACTCCCACCTCCAGAGATCAACTACACTTGTCTTCGAGGAGGCCCTGACTTCCTTACTACCTTCACTACCAACCACTATGCCAGCCTTGACGACCACCGCACTGGTCAGCAACAAGGCTACAGAGTCCAGCATTGGACTAAGCACACCTAACTACAGGTGATGCTACATCAGTGAAGCAGCACCACAGCTTCACTACAACTTTGGACCTCCATGTCCAAACTACATCAGGATGTATCTCATGAACTCCACTCAGTACCACTACTGAGGCCTGAACAGGAGAGCTACTGAGAGCAGCCTGTACGTACTACAGCTTTTTTGATCGTTGAGAGTCAGCGGACTACAGCCAGCAGAGTTGTAGTTATACTACTTTCAGTCCTTTTGCAGTCAAAACTACTTTGAGCCCTTTGCACTTTTTCCCCTTTCTGGATATGGTTGAAAAGACACTACAGGGTCTTTTAACCAAGGGGCCGTGTCAAATATCATGCTGTACTACTTGTCCCTTGTACATGCATGATGTACACTACCCGACCGCAGGCCTTGAGTCTACAAGGAAAAGAGTGCATGCTGGGAAACTACGTTTGTGTTTGTGACAGCAAGAACAACATTTGCACTTGTAGTAAAGTATCGACTTATTTTAACGACAGAGAGAGAGAGAGAGAGAAAAAGAAAAATAAAGAGAGAGAGAGAGAAGGAAAGAAAGAAAGAAAAAGAAAGAAAGAAAGAAAGAAAGAAAGAAAGAAAGAAAGAAAGAAAGAACGAAAGAAAGAAAGAAAGAAAGAGCAAAAGAAAGAAAGAAAGAAAGAACAAAAGAAAGAAAGAAAGAAAGAAAGAAAGAAAGAAGGAAAGAAATACAGAAAGAAAGAAAGAAAGAGAGAGAGAACAGAGAGAGAGAGAGAGAGAGAGAGAGAGAGCGAGAGAGAGAGAGAGAGAGAGAAAGCCAAAGAGAGCCAGAGAGAGAGAGAGAGAGAGAAAGAGAAAGAGAAAGAGAAAGAGAAAGAGAAAGAGAAAGAGAAAGAGAAAGAGAAAGGGAAAGAGAGACAGAGACTAAGACAGAGACTAAGACAGAGAGAGACAGCGAGAAAGAGACAGAGAGAGAAAAAGAGAGAGAGAGAGAGAGAGAAACAGAGAAAAAACAAGAGAGGGAGAGAGAGAGAGAGAAAGAGATTGAAAGAGAGACACAGAAAGAGAGAGAGAGAGAGAGAGAGAGAGAGAGAGAGAAAGAGAGAAAGAGAGAAAGAGAGAGAAAGAGAGCGGCATTGAGAGGAGGGAGATTGGGAAGAGAGAGGGGAAGGGAGAAGGGCGAAAAGAAGCAGGAGATGGGGAGAGGGCGTTGAGCCGGAGGCCCTCAAGTTTTTTTGGTCCCATTTCTGGTTCACGAACACTACTTGAAACGCTTGCCAAAAATCACGGCGGCTACAGTTTGGATAAACACATACGACTTGCGTTGCTTCGAGTTGCGTGCTGGCCATCAAAGTAAATATACACCTCGCAAAAATGGCCACTGTGCCAGTGAACACCATGGGACGCTTTGATCATCAAAACTACGGCTTTTTCGGGAGTTTGCGGGATTTTGTGGGAGTTGCGGACCTGCGGCCGTTTTGTTGCCAAAATGAGTACGTTTTTCCCGCGTCGCACAACTTTGGACTGCGGTAGCGTGTTTTGACAAACTTGCGGGCTGCATGAAGTCGCTTAATATTTTGGAAAGCCTCCTGTAGTGAAAGGCCGAGCATTGGGGTAGTGTGTATTTTTTTTAAAGTTTTCGGAGTTTCAGGTTTCCGTGGCAAAAAGTGCCACGATTTCCCGGATATGTAGTCAAAGGTGGAAGCTACAGTTTTTCCGGGAGGACGAGGCCCAGGCGTATTATGTCAGTTGGAATGAAAAGTGTGCGTGCAGGAGAACTCGCGCACCGACAAAAACTCAACCGTACACTCTTTGGCAAATGTGCCCAGAAAACATGTGACAAGCTCTCGGCGCCAGCCAAGTGGTTGGTTGAAGGTCGAAGTTGGGTGACTTGTTGAAGGGGTTCCAACAAAAGGCCTCGTTTGGGATGCTACTACACACATTGTTGGTGCAACCGATCTGACCGTTTCTTACTGTTTCGAAAAGGTTTCCAGCCAAGGAACCTGGGATCTCCCCCTCCAACCTGTTGTGGCCTAGATGGAGAATCCTCACATGCGCCGCCAAAAAACATCGATGCAACACATCAGCCCATTTCTTGAGGTCCCAGAACCACGACATTTGTTGTTCCTGATGACATGTAGGCCGAAGCTGTGCAGGCCAGCCAAGAGCTGTGTCCAGCGGTAATTCTCTACTAGCTTGGAGCCCCAAGAGGCCTGCAAGAGTGAACCACTAGAGAATGGCTCCCCCTCCAAAAAGCACCCGGTCCTCAGCTTCCGAGAGTTGCAAATCACAGGCAGCAGTGTGCCAGAGATCACGTTGTGGTCCAAGTAAAGCTCTGACCTTGGCACACGAGGACGTGACAGATGAATATCACAGTGAGTGTGTGCCATGCTCGGCTTGTCAGGATCACCATGGAGCGCCGCTTGTGATTCTCCGTGTGGAGGGACTCTCAAACAAGCACAATGCAAGCTCTGCCTGGGTCAAACCACGCATGCAAGTGCACAGTTTCATTGTAGGATGGTGGGTTCCCATTAAGTTCTCTAATGACGACCCTAGCCGACTCGTTGCAAGTTTGGCCACAAGACAACAAGATTAAACACGGGCACCCTCCAAAGACAGACCCGCATGCCCAACTCGTGGGATCAAGGCTCAGGTCGTTGGCTTGGTAGAACTGCAGAGGTATAGTGTCGAAGTAGTTTTGGCCCAAGTCCAGTTCCGTCAGCCGCGGAAACTGTTCCGGAAGGACCTGACCACCAGAACGAGATGCGAGCTGCTCCACGGGGGCCCTGTGAAGACGGGTGCGCCGAAAGCATTTTCCATGACACGCAGTCTGAATCCGTCAATTTTTTCCAACTATGCATTTCATGTTTACTTTATCTTGCATTTCACTGTCTACTTTCCCTGCGCATGCATGTATGCATTTCACTCTACTCTCGCTGCGCATGCCTCTCTGCTCTCCCTGCGCATGCCTCTCTGCATTTAACTGTCTACTCTCCCTGCGCATGCGTCTATGCACTTCGCTCCGTACTGCATGCCTTTACGCATTTCACTGTCTACTCTCCCTGCGTGTGTGCATTTCACTGTCTACTTTCCCTGCGCATGCCTCTATAAATTTCACTGTCTATTTTCCCTGCGCATGCATCTTCACCCTGTACTTGCGCATGCCTCGATGCTACTTTCCCTGCGCATGCCTCTGTGCATTTCACTGTCTAGTTTCCCTGCGCACGCCTCTATTCATTTCACTGCCTAGATTCCCTGCGCACGCATCTACGCACCTCACTCTGTACTTGCCCCACGCATGCCGCTATGCATTTCACTGTCTACTTTCCCTGCGCGTGCCTCTATGCAATTTCACTGTCTACTTTCCCTGCGCATGCCTCTATGCATTTCACTGTCTACTTTCCCTGCGCGTGCCTCTATGCATTTCACTGTGCACCCTCCGTAAGCATCCATCTACGCATTTCACTCTGTACTTGCCCGATGCAGGCCTCTATGCATTTCACTGTGCACTTTCTCCACGCATGCCTCTATGCTTTTCACTGTCTACTTTCCGACTTTGCAGCCGGAGCTGCGGGGACGTACTTCGCGCACTACTTTTGTACTCAAAAGTTGCGACTTCGCAGCCGGAGCTGCAGCATGTACTTCGCGCACGACTTGTGTATTCAAAAGTTGCGGCTTTGCAGCCTGATCCCTGCAGACAGTCGCGCGCAGACCGCGAACATATGCGAAGATTCACACGGGGAAAACGCAACAAAACCTCGAGTTTTTGCACCACGACCACGCCGACCCCCGCAGAGGGTCTCACACAAAATTCGCCAAAAAATCCTCAGTTTTTGCACATTGACCACGCCGACCCTTCGCGCGGCAGCTTAAAAATCGCAAAAAAAGAGGTTTTTGCACCTCGACCACGCCGTCTCCGCAGAGGGTCGCGCGCGTCACGCAAAAACCACCAAACATCGCAAAAAAACACCCTCAATTTTTGCGTTTTTGCACCTTGACTACGCCGATCCCCACACCGGGTCACGCAAAAATCGCAAAACAAACCCTCAATTTTTGCACACCACGCCGATCCCTGAGAGGGTTGCATGTTCGCAGAGCTCGCTTGGTCCCACCGCGCCGCCTTGCGATACTAATTTTACGACGTTCCCTCGTTCTTCTCGTGCGAAAGGGAATGCAAGATCGCTATGCATTTCACTGTGTACTTTCCCTATGCGTGCGTCTATCCATTTCACTGTCTACTTTCCCTGCGCGTGCCTCCATGAACTGCACTGTCTACTTTCCCCGCGCAAGCCTCTATGCATTTCACTGTTTACTCTCCCTGCGCATGCCTCTCTGCATTTAACTGTCTACTTTCCCTGCGTGTGCCTCCATGAACTGCACTGTCTACTTTCCCCGCGCTAGCCTCTATGCATTTCACTGTGCGCTTTCCTTTTGCAAGCCCGTATGCGTTTCACTGTCTTTCCCTGCACGTGCCTCTATGCATTTCACCGTCTACTTTCCGTGCGCATGCCTCTATGTATTTCACTGTCTACTTTCCTTTCGCATGCATCTATGCATTTCACTGTGTACTTGCCTTATGAATGCCTGTATGCGTTTCACTGTCTGCTTTCCCTGTGCAGTTGAGCTGTGCAGAACGGAACGACTTTACAGGAGGAACCCCTCGCAATGCTTTCGCGAAAAGCCACAGCAACAACTTGTGTGTGTCTGCGTCGGTACTGATATGCACTGCAGCAGCGCCAACACACCAGCACTGACGTCGCAGCTAGTCATGGCCAAAAGTGCAGGGTGTCGGGGTCAGACTGATGCCTGGCAAGGACAGGAGAACTTGAAGGGGACGGTTTCTGGAAGCCGCGCCCGCAGGTTTGTTTGGCAGCGCAGGGAATTCTAAGAGCGCTGCTGCGCCATGAGCGTAACCCGCTAAGACAAGAAAACCTCAAGCAAGGCCAGGAGGAGGTCGGCGCCTGCCGTCGCATGCGAATTCTCTTTACAGCTGAGGTGCGGGAGACCCGCTGCAGAGCGGTCTCGGTTGCTTGGGCAAGGGAAATCCGGCGGTTGAGGAGCGTTTGATGGGCGCGAAACGCTCCAAGAGAACGAACTGCTGGTTGGCCCGAAGGGAAAAGCCCTCAATTGTGACCTCAAGCTGGGCAGAGAGCTGGTCAAGGTCACCTTGCTGCCTACGCCCGCTGAACAAGTGAAGTACGTACTTCGCTCTTGTCGGCTCCCTGCTGATGAAACAAATGCTGAGAAAGGCAAGGTCGGATATATACACTTGGCCCTGGTATCGGGAGGCCTCGACGGAATGCGCTTCTTGGTTCGCAGTGAAACAGATCCACTCCGAAACGCGTGCTGAGAAAAGCAAAGTTGGTTATATACACTTGGCTCTGGTATCGAAAGGCCAGATCCACGCGGCTGCAGAGAGGACCCGGCAAACAAATGTGCCTTCTCTTTGGATTAAGGATGCCCGTATGTCAAGGGATCTCCGATGCGCGCCCAAGTAAAGCCTGATTTGAGCCTCACAAATTTCCCTCGTTAACACTTGGTATCTCAAAGTGGCTTCGTGGCAAGCGGCTGTCTTCAAAGGGACTGCGACCTCAAGCCCAGGGCACTGCGCTGTGCTTTTACACGCGCGCCGTGCACGGCTTCCTGGAGCTGGGGGGCGCCAACGCAGGGCACGCAGTGCAATATACACAAGAGGGGAAGCTCCTCTTGGAAGCACCTTGAGGACATCCAGGGAGCGGTTGCCACAGGCCAACGACTTGTTTTGAGTGTCTTTGGCGCAACTTGCACTGGACTGTTGCGACAGCCCATGTTTGACTTGCGGCTGATCTTGCAGCGCACTCCTGATCTTCAAATTCCATTATGAGGCGCAGCGAATTTGATCGCTCCAAAGCCATACAACGGGGCATTTGTACTACTCACTTGGAGAAAATCGACCAAACAAAGCGCAACACCGCCAACTTTCTTGTTTAAATCCGTTGGGGGCGGCAAATGACATGTTCCATCAGGGCAGCACAGGTTCCTTCCCAAAATCCAGTGTGACGGATACCTCAGAAGGGGACATCCGGCTCCTATCAAAAAACATGTCGCGGGAACTTGTCGGGGCCTTCTTGGGGGGGAAGTTGGACCCTTCTATACCAGCTACTGGAAAAAATGATTGGTCGCTCCGACCTGTAAAATGGGTTCTGTGAAATGGGTTCCTTTTGCGTGCTACACATTTCAGGTGCAAGCTAGAAAGCGTGGAAGTTACCCGACTATTGGAGGGTAGAGGGAAACCAAACAGAGAAACAGTTGCGGCCTGGCAGGCTTGGTCAACGGTGCTGAAAGCTGGTCTCAAACCAGCTGGTTCCTGGTTGTGGGTTCCAAGGATTTTCAAGGAAAACTTGGTCAAGGTTTGGCCAAGGCAAGTGAGCGCACACTTGGTGGGCTCTATCATGTCGTCAAAAGGTTTCCTCTGTTCCAACAAAGAATCAAAGTCAAGTGGCTTGTCCTGTTTCGCCTGCCCACCCCCCGCCCTTTGGAGCCTCTCCATGGAAGCGGTTGCTCCTCAAACTCAGCCTGGAAAGCCGCCGAGCGCCTTAGCCAGAATTGCAACCCATAGCTGTACCAGAAAGCGTCGGTCTCTACGCAGGAACATTCCCCCTAACAAAAGGGTGCTTTCCATGTGGCTTCCCTTTAAACAATGCCGGGGGCTCCCTCAAAGTTTTGGGGTACTTCAAAGCTAAACATAGTTCTGATAAATTGTGCAAGTAACCTATAAGCAACTGTGTGGCGCCTGTTTATCACTTCTACCCTTCCTCTCACACGTCCCTTTCTTCAAACACTTGCCAACCACAGCCAAAGAACGATTGATGCAAAGGAATGGGGTTTCGACCGCTAGACTTCTTGCGACAAACCAGTAGGGATGTTGATTTTTTCCACCCATGGATGCTCTCTGAAGGGCTTCTGCCTTCTCGGCAATGCATGGATGCTCGTGCCGCATGTCCACGCAATTCGCCATCCTCTTGCTGCAACATGCTGATAAGAGCTGCAACACCCAGGAAAATAAGAAAATCACATCGTCCAGCAGTGGACGGATGTGCTTTAAACCAAACTAAGACCCTTCGAGGCGAGTTCAACGCGGAACTGTCAAACAAACCATTTCAAGGGGGGTCTAGTTTGTGTCCAGCGTTCAACACGATCTTTCAAGGTTAACACAGGCGCAGGCTGCCAATCCTAAGCCTCAAACTTTGTTTGGGGCAAACCATGCTGGGCTGTCCAAAAATGGTGCGGTGGTGCCAATCCCTTTGAGGCAACCACAAAGGCCCTTTGCACTGAACCCAGGCATTTGCTCAAGCCTGTGCGCATGTCCAGCCACAGCTCCGAACATCTCAGGCAAAGGCACGAGAGCCAATGATCATGGTGTCCCCAGCTGACATGGGATCTGGTGAGTCACTCAAATTTTCCTCATGGCAATTGGTTTTCCTTTCTTGCAGTAGATGACGGTGAATATGCCGTCGCCAATACGTCACACTAACTACAGCAGGGTCTTGACGGGTTAGCCGAAGCGTGGTATCAAAGAACATGTCCATGTGCAAAAAACAAAAACAAACACCAGGATTTCAACTTTTTTTCATGGCCGGGAACGTCCCACTAAGCGCTGTTTTCTCCAAGAGTGATGGTTTCCCCGAAATTGCCGGTTGGACCCGTGTTTCGCTCCAGGTGTCGGCTTTTAAAGGAGGATACCAAAACCGGGATTGAGCATTTTGACCACCAACCCAGCCCAAATACATCAACATATGGTGCACATGTGGGTATGTGTGCCAAGTACATAAACATATAGTGAACATGTGGGTAGGTGTTAGGGATTGGGGCACCGAAATTTTGGTCGTCCTCTTGCTTTCTCGTCGGCCTCACACGGGGTGGGCCATCTGGATTGCCCATCTTCGACGTTCTGGGGTCCGTGCGCTGCAGTTTCCCGCCAATCTGTCCGGTGAAGAAGTTGGACGAGAGGTCCAGAGTGAGCAACCTGAGCGACTCCAGCTCCCAGTGACTCCAAAAACCCCCTAGGACACGCCTGGTTTACCTATCATAGTTACTGAGTAAGCAAAACTGCACTTCGGAGTTGCTCGATCCCTTGCAAGTGAGCCACTGGTGGAATATTGATATGTCAGAAACTTCTCTAAGCCCTCAGCGTTTGCTCGCGAGTCACAATCAAAACCTGGCACTGCAGTGGTACAGAAGCAAGCGGTTCCCCATGCTAAGAGTCAGTCCCTCGCAGACTGCAAACATCACTCTCTTCAACCAGTCAAAACCTGATACTAAAGTGGACCCGCAAAAGACTCAGGGTGGATATAGGCACCTTTTCGGGTCATGGCTGTTGTTTGATTGCAAGTTGCACCTCGACCCGGTGGTTGATTTCCCAGAAGTAGAAATCACCCCCCTCTTTGGAACCCGCAACAAAAAACCTTGGGGATCGATCGGGGGCGGGTTACTTCGTTGCACCACCACCAGCAACTCCTCAACTTGTTTATGCATGATGCTATGTAACTGAAACAACGGTCTTGCCATGAGCAGGTTGGGATCTTCTTACAAAAAGGGCACCAAACTCCCCTTCAGCTCTATTTTGTGTGCCCCAACTGATTTTGCATGGGGGGCCTGAGGAATCAGTACAAGTCCCAAGCTGAACCTCAAGCTGCGCAACCCGTACATGTCGGAGAGGTCCGGCATGTGGCCATGCAGCCGATTTCCAGCCAGCGATAGGTGGGACAATCGGCCCCTGGCTGCAATGGAGGCCAGACGAAGGAGGCGGCCGCAGCTATTTGTGGCTAGGATCGTCCCTCACTAACCTTCACTTACCCGGGTTTTGATTGTGGCTCAGGTACAGAATTGACAAGTGTTTTGTTGCTTTCAGAAGATTCTTCTTGGGATTTCAAGCGACACCGCCGGGGTTCGCCCCGCTTCACTCACACCCCGGCCTCAAACCTGCTGCTGCACATATATGAATCAATTCCCCTTCTACAGGAAGGCCTCCTGATAAGTCCAAGTGAAACCAATTCCTGAAATCATTTTCTCCAAGTTTCTTTCTTCCATTTCCAGTCTCGAATCAGCGCTGCCCGGCTTACTCGAGGCTTCCACTTGGAGCTTCTACGTTTTTTTTCAACCAGCTCGACAGACGTGAAGCCAAAGGTCGAAGCGAATCAGGCTGAAGCAAGGGGGAATCGTTGTCTTAACCCGTTGTTTTTGTTCATCCTTCATCCTTCATTTATCCCTTCATCCTTCATCCAACGAAGCCTGGCAGATTGGCGGCTTGTATCGGTGCGTTTGGGGGGATGTCACTCTGGCCACCTCACAAGGCCGCGTTCAGCCAGCAACGTTCCCATCTGCACAAATTGCTGCACTGGACTGACCTGAGTCACTCATTTCCTGAAAGGATTGGTCACACACAAAGTTTGATCATTTTGCTGACCTCAAAATGTTCATTCCAAAAAACTTAAGTCGAGGACTTGTCTGGATCGATCCCATCAGCCGCTCTTATGTCAGCCACAGCGGCAAGTGCGCAAAAATGGGCGGAACTTCTCCGGTGAGCTGGTTGTTTGCCTTAGTTGATGATGCCGTGCAAAAAGTGAGCATCGTTTGGTGCGATTGGTCATCTTCATGGAATGCCGAAACCGGACCTTCCAAAAACTTCCTTGGACTTCCAACGCTTATGTGCAGAGTCCTTTTGGAATCATTTTGGAAGCCCATGACTGAAAACCAAGCTGCGAGATACAGGGCAGTCAGCTGTCGTAGCCCTGCCAGAGACACCGGGATCTCCCCAGAAAGATTGTTCGAAGAAAGGTCCAACGTGCTCAAGGATTTCGGCAGCGCCTCAGCTTCCAAGAATCCACCGCTCTTAGAAAAGTTGGAGTGTGGGCGATCCGCATATGTTTACTTAAGTGTCAACGGACAACATATATCATGTAACGTTTTATGTATGTTCGTGGGTGGGAAACAAACCAGCGATGGGTAAACAACGAATTCCGAGTGCCAGTCCCCTTGTCAAGAAAAAGTACAGGTTCAGAATACGTTTAGCCAGTTATGATTCAACAGCAACAAAGTTCCGCCAAGGCATTGAGCTTTTTCGAATGGCCAAACCAAGTAATTGCCCAGTCAACCAAATTCTGCACGTATGACCCCAATGCCAAACCAAGAACCCCCACAATCAACACTGCTTGGGGAAAACAAAGACGTGCTGCTCCAATGCTGACTCATGTTGGCCTGATTTCCGCAAGGTTTTTCCCTGGTCTTCAAGCGATTCGTTTTCCCAACATTTCATAACTATGGACGGACAGTCCACCAGAATACTGGTTGAGCCAGTATAGACCTACCAACTGGTGCGTTAGGCGGATTTTGTCCGTCCATAGTTTTCCACAAAATGGGTGCCATTCTTTGCAGGAAGGGACACTATAAAGGCCAATGTTTTGCAGTGCTTTTTGAAAACCCGGAGTTTTCAGACATGTCATGCAAACCCTCCAGAATCTATGATGCACATGGTTGTTTGCATTTGTTCTTGTCTCTCCTTGTCACAGAATAGAAATAACGAGTTTGCTGGGCCGAGTGGGGGGATTTGACCTTGGCGAATTGTGGGGGTTGGTTGCCGCGCAGTGTTTGATCTGGGTTCAGGCACAGGCGCAGGCTCTGAAACCAAAAGGGGACAAGGTGCATTCTGCATCTGAGACAGTGCCTGGCCCTCCCTAACTGCCTAGCCTTAAAAGGACTGGCGCATCGCCGCAAAGAACTTTGGCAGAGCTTGAATCTGTAGCCGAACAAAGAACGCAACTTGAAAGTAAGAAGGGCGTCAGCAGCCTGAAAAAGGGCTGCTGCAGCAGCGACACAAAACTTGGGAGGGTAACGTTGGGCCAAGTGAGTTGCTGCGAGGATCCTGGCCCTAGGAATTTGGTGTTTGCAAGAGCGGCTGCGTTGGCCGCGAATGCCGGAACACACATGTTGCAAATCACTATCCGGCTGCGAAAACCAGGCTTGCACCCGGGTGTGCCTTTTTCACCAAGCATCGCACTGACAGAAGCCAGCGAAAAAGGTTCGTGCGGAGGGGTGTGGCACAGTTTGCAAAAAAACAGGGGATCATACGTTGAATGGTAAGCGAAACGAAGATTGACACTTTCCCAGAACCAACAACAACAACATTTGCGGCGGCGACGTTAGCCCCCAACCCTTCAGAGCTCGGGCTGCTAAAGGCAGTGGGTGAGCACCCTGTTTTGCCCAAGCTGGCATGAAGAACTTCGTGGCTGCCAAGGTCTTGACACCGTCGTCTCCAAGCCCTTCTTGGCCACGAGCAGTATGGCGTTCGAGCTCCGCGTGGGTCACCACCATGCGTCCTTCTTCGAACAGCCAGTGTGTGATGCGCTCCATCCGCCGCTGGTAGTCGAGGAGCGTGGGGGTCCGCACGCTGCGCGCTTCCAGGAAGGCGAGGCCCAGGCTTGTGGCCGCCTGCGCCGCCACGGTGTTGAGCGTCCCCTTCTTGGTTGCACCAACTTGCGCCCTCCTCTGCAAGTCCTTGTTTCGTGCGCCCGCCAACGGCGTAGCCCTTGCCCGTCCCACCGTGCAACAGCACGCGATGGTCTATCAGCAACGTTCAGCTCGCTGGGCACCCATCGAACGGCGACCTTGGAGCCGGTGGCTAAGCAAAGTGCAGTAAGTTGTGGAGCGGTTGTAAGACCAGACTTCCCACGGCCCTTGGTGACATTCTCCTCGAAAATAGAACTCTTCTTCTTCGAGGTTGGCATCGGGATGGACGTGTGCCAATGAGGCTCTCTCGCATTCTTCACCTTGAAAAGCCAATGCGAACATGGGACGTCTCCGCACCGGCCTGCGTCCGGGCAACCAAGCGCAATGAACCTCTGCTTTTTGTCCAGCTTGAAGATGTCCATGATATTCTGAATATTCCATGGAATGGGATGTCGCAGCTCCTTGCGAAGCGCGAGTCCCAGGTCTTCGAGGTCCATGTAGCCGTCCTCATCCATCACGTACCCGCATCCTTCTGTTCCACGACCACGGAGGATCTTGGAGATGCACGTCAGGGAACTGTGGTACTCGTTGCTGATTCTCCTGACAGAAGGGTCGTAATCGAAAGAGGGCTGCTTGATGATGTCGAGTCTCTTGGGGCCCTCACCGTAGTCGACATACTTCACGCCATCATGAATACTATACACCCAGCAGTCGTAGTGGCCTCCAGGCACGTTCCTCCCGTAGGAGTCGAGTGGTACCGGTCTGCTTGCCGCCTCGTCCCTCTGTGCCACCGCAGCCGCCTTTGCACCGGCTTGCGCCGGGCGAACACTTTCGGAAACATCAGCACCGGAAGGCTCACCTGAAGTTGCAAACTCGGCTGGGTTGACGGGGGCGAAATCGAGGGGCTGCCGGACCTCCACTTCTTCACGGGTGAAAGGGAGCCCGATCATCTCTGACAAAGAAACACCGCACTTCGTTAGCGTTTCTTTGCAGTACGCGAGAACCTCAACGTTGACTCTGTCAATTTAGGATGAGCTGTCCTTGGATCCTTGTTGTACTTCTCCATGAAATGGAGGAAGTTCTTTTTGGTCTCCACAAGCTCTTCCTCATAAGGGCCCAAGTGATATGACCCAACAAAAGTTGAAGCAATTTGCCACTGCACGCCGGTCTTTGTAAAAGCTCTTCCTCGTGCACCGTCAGCCCAAAGCCTCTCAGAAAACTGCTGATCTTGGCCAGGCCTAAAAACTGCAAGGTTGTCCACATATCCGGCCACAGTCAGGTCGAACTTGCACAGGCTGCGCTGAAAATCCGGCCGTTTTGATTGCTTTCTAAAAGACCAATGGCACAAGCCATCCAAGTGCAAGCCGCCAGCGTCGACCGGCCCGCCAAATCCAAAGTTAGCTGGGTTGGTTGGCGCTCGGGCTCGGCTGGCTTGAGCACTACACGATGCGCTCGCTCCCCTTCCACCAGCCAGCACCTCTGTTGAAGAAGTAGATCTGGTGTGTAAATGTCGCCGGTGTCCTGGATCCTGAGCAAGATCCGGCAGTGCCACAAGCCCTTGCCAGCGTCGTACTTCACCAGCACACAGTCACCTGGACGAAGGCCGCCAGCTCGTGGTGGCTCCAACCACAAGAGCCGGCTCGTTGACAGTAGTGGCAACTTGGGGTTGCTGAAGATGTTGGATAGACCAGCATTACAGGTAGGCGAGAACAACAAACAAGCAGCACTGGCCAATGGCCACAAAGTGGCCAGTTGAACAGGTGACTGGAGGGAACGTACAGGATCCACAGGTCACCGCGCAAGCTAAGCTGGGCAGTTTCCAACGCCCTGATCCCGATGGCGCAAACTCAAAAAGCCAGCACCACTCAAGAATGCTATGGCGTGAGAGACAAGTAGCGAAGGGTTCTTCCGAAAAAATTGCCAACCTTATCACACAGCCACACTTGCACGAGCCAACTAGCACGATAAATCGCACAGCCTGATTTGCACGAGCCAACTAGCACGAGAAAGCTCGCACGAGACGTATAAGTAATTGGCAGTCTCTGAAGGCGGTGCGGCGGGACCGAACCCACTCTGCGAAAATGACACCCTCTGCGGGGATTGGCGTGGTCGACGCGGACGTGCAAAGACTGTGGACGTTTTGCGATTTCTGAGGTGCGCGCAACCCTCTGCGGGCATTGGCGTGGTCGATGTTGAAAAACTGTTGGGGTTTCTATGATTTTGAAGTGCCCGCGACCCTCTGCGGAAGCCTGTGGGCGTTTTACGAATTCTGAGTTGAATGCACGACCCTCTGCAGGGATTGGCGCGTGAAACGCTAGTAAAAAAGCGGGCTTGAAAGTTTGTCTCGTGGTTTGGGCACCTGCTCTTGGAGGCGAGCAGCCCCGGGCTCGAATCCTGCTTGGTCTCCGCGGCGCGAAACCAACTCGCGAAGTGGGCTGAAAAATTGCAACTTTCAAGTACGAAAGTAGTATGCAAAGTACAATGTTCGATTCTTCGGCTGGAAAATCGCAACTAGTACGAAAAAGTATTACGCGAAGTACACTTTTAGACAGGCTCCGGATGGAAGATCGCAACTTTTAGGGTCGAAAGTATTGCACGAAGTACGCTGTCAGAAGGCTTCGGCTGGCAGAGCTCATGGAAACTTGCTTCGAGCTTGCGCAGCACACTTGCGCAGAGCGCTTGCGCAGCGCAACTTGCACAGAGCACTTGCACACGCAGAGCAACTTGCACTGAACTCTTGGGCCGAGCGCTTGCACGGAGCAACACGTGCAAAGAGCTTGCAACACCGAAGCTTATCAGTCGCTCAAGGACACACGTAAAAACGTGTACGGCAAAGCTTTGAGTACAGAGCAATCGCGCTCTTCGATGCTTGCTTGCCCACTTGAAGCAGGTTGTGGAAGCTTCGACAAGAACACGTTCAAGCTGGAGAGCCCCGCAACATTTTGATGCGCTGCGTTGGGGGCATCAATCGAAGCTCGGCTATGCTGTGCGCGTGGTTCATTGTGGTGCAGGGCATGACCGCGGAGGCTGCCGTCACTCAGCTTCTTCAGGCAAGACGTTCTGTCTCTGAGATCCAAGACGCACGAACGAAGGGAGATAGGAGAGGGTGAAGAGAAAAAAAAGAGGAGAGGTGAAAGAGATTAGCCATTCACTTCTTCTTTCTATATATCTTTCCTCTACCTTCATTCTCTTTGTCTAGCCACTTTCTCTCTTCAACACTATCATATAGGCGAGACAGGATGAAGGTAGATAAGGAAAAGACATAGCGCGAGCTAACGAGAGAACAGAGGGAGAAGAGTGGATGAAGGAAGAGGAAATCATTTGTCTCCGCTGGAAAGAACTGGCCAGCGGATGGACAAGACTTCTGCTGTTGTTATTCCTTCTCCCAGTACCCTCCAGATCCTTAAGAATGCTTTTGGAGTGGGTTCTGGCGTGATAGATGGGAGATGGAAAGGAAAGGTTGAAGAGAGAGGAGATGAAGAGATAACCCACATCCTGTCAGACTCTATCACTTTCCCTAGACCGTTTCATCGTGAGTCTTTCATAGTGCAAGGAACTCCAGAAATCCGCCGACAACAGACGGCGTGTTGGACACAAAAAATGCTCCTTACCTCGTTACCTGTTACCCAGAGGTTTGCGGGGGGGGGGTCCACGTACCACGCGGTGATTCGAAGACGCTTCACTAAATCTGTTCATTGCGCGGGCTTGCGCAACTCAGTTTGTCAAAAACATTGGGGCGTTCGATTCCCCCCGGGTGCGCTTTCGCATCCTTAGCAGCTCCAGCGGCACATCGCCAGCATCACCTGCATCATCCGCATCAGCGCCTGCCAAGGATGCGGATGATGTAAGTGATGCTGGGGATGTTGCCCATGCTGGTGAAGGAAATGAAGGGGGGAAAGGGGGAAAGGATCTCAACAGCGAAAGGGGGGGAAAGATCTCAGGGAGGAAAGGGAGAAGATCTGGGGAAAAAATGCCTTCAGGGGGAAAGGGGGGAAAAGATCTTTGGGAGGAAAAGGGAAATCTTTCTCGGGGGGAACAGGCCCTAAGGGGCGGGAAAGGGGGAAAAAGACTTTGGGAAGAGAAGGGTGGAGATCTTGGGGGGGAAAAGCCGGAGACGAACTCAGGGAAAAGGACTTAAGGAGGAAAGGGGGGGAAAGATCTTAGGGAGGAAAGGCAGAAAATCTGGGGCAAAAAGGCCTTAGGGGGGAAAGGGGAGAAATGATCTCAACAGGGAAAGGGGTGGAAAAGATCTTAGGGAGGAAAGGGAGAAGATCTGGGGAAAAAAGGCCAACAGGGAAAGGGTGGAAAAGATCTTAGGAAGGAAAAGGGAGAAGCTCTCAAAAAAGGAAAGGCCTTGGGAGGGAAAGGGGGGAAAGGATCTCAACAGGGAAAGGGTGGGAAAGATCTTAGGGAGGAAAGGGGGGGGGGGGGAAGATCTTAGGGAGGAAAGGGAGAAGATTTGGGAGAAAAGGACTTAGGGGGGAACGCCCAACAGGGAAAGGGAAAAGATTTTGGAAGGAAAAGGGAGACGCTCTCAGAGGGGGGAAAGGCCTTAGGGGGGAAAGGGGGAAAAGGATCTCAGCAGGGAAAGGGGTGGAAAAGATCTTAGGGAGGAAAGGGGAAAGATCTGGGGAAAAAAAGCCAACAGGGAAAGGGTGGAAAAGATCTTAGGAAGGAAAAGGGAGAAGCTCTCAGGGGGGGGAAAGGCCTTGGGAGGGAAAGGGGGGAAAGGCCAACAGGGAAAGGGTGGAAAAGATCTTAGGAAGGAAAAGGGAGAAGCTCTCAGGGGGGGGAAAGGCCTTGGGAGGGAAAGGGGGGAAAGGATCTCAACAGGGAAAGGGTGGGAAAGATCTTAAGGAGGAAAGGGGGGGGAAGATCTGAGGGAGGAAAGGAGAAGATCTGGGGACAAAGGCCTTAGAGGGGAAAGGAGAAATGATCTCAACAGGGAAAGGGGTGGAAAAGATCTTAGGGAGGAAAGGGAGAAGATCTGGGGGAAAAACGGCCAACAGGCAAAGGGGGGAAAGATCTAAGGAAGGAAAAAGGAGAAGCTCTCAGGGGGGGGGAAAGGGTGGGAAGGATCTCAACAGGGAAAGGGGGGAAACAATCTTAGGAAGGAAAAGGGAAAAGATCTGGAAAGGCCTTAAAGGGAAGAAGGGAAAGGATCTCAACGCAAAAAGGAGGCAAAGGATCTTAAGGAGGAATAGGGAGAAGATCTCAGCGGGGGGAAAGGCCGTAGGGGGGAAAGGAGGGAAAGGATCTCAACAGGGAAAGGGGGAAAACATCGCAGGGAGGAAAAGGGAAAACTCAGAGGGAGAAAGGGGCCTTAGGGGGGAAAGGGGGAATGGATCTCAACAGGGAAAAATGGCAAAAGATCTTAGGGAGGAAAAGGGAGAAGATCTCAGGGGGGGAAAGGCCTTAGGGGGGAAAGGGGGGAAAGGATCTGAGCAGGGAAAGGGGGGGAAAGATCTTAGGGAGGAAAGGGAGAAGATCTGGGGGCAAAGGCCTTAGGGGGGAAAGGGGAGAAATGATCTCAACAGGGAAAGGGGTGGAAAAGATCTTAGGGAGGAAAGGGAGAAGATCTGGGGGAAAAAAGGCCAACAGGGACAGGGGGGAAAGATCTAAGGAAGGAGAAGCTCTCAGGGGGGGAAAGGCCTCAGGAAGGAAAAGGGGGGGGGGAAGATCTGAGGGAGGAAAGGGAGAAGATCTCAGCGGGGGGAAAGGCCGTAGGGGGGGAAAGGAGGGAAAGGATCTCAACAGGGAGAGGGGGGAAAACATCGCAGGGAGGAAAAGGGAAAATACAGAGGGAGAAAGAGCCTTTGGGGGGAAAGGGGGAATGGATCTCAACAGGGAAAAATGGCAAAAGATCTTAGGGAGGAAAAGGGAGAAGATCTCAGGGGCGGAAAGGCCTTAGGGGGGAAAGGCGGGAAAGGATCTGAGCAGGGAAAGGGGGGGGAAAGATCTTAACCAAGAGATTTCTACCGGACACATCCTCAATCATATGCTGATGCCACTTTTGCTGGAAGTGTCGCTGGGCTTTGAATGTTGGCAAGGCATGAAATTCTCTGATTCTTTGGGGTGACAAGTTCTAACACTTCTGAATCTAATTTCAGTACGAATGCAGCACAACGGCATCGCTTCGTTTCGACGGGCTCCGATACAACAAAAAATGCAACACACCAGCTCAAAACGCAGTAAATCCAGAGCCACCTTTTAAGGTTGGCTTATATGGCGTGATGAACCCCCCCTCGAAGATGTCCGCCTCCGTTTGTTTGGGCCCCCCAAAAGACCCGAAGTTCTAGGGGTACCTTCCCCATTCTTTCCTTGTCGATTCCCTTTGAAGCCAACCACAAAAGCGGGTGGCTTTTTGGTCCCCTAGACCAGTGGATCTGCCCCGGCGCCGGCAGGGGTCCGGTGAGGCGATTGGAGCTGAGGTCCAGGGAGAAGAGCTCAGAGCCCAGCTCCGGCAGAGGACCCTGAGACAGCCATAGACATGAATCCAAACCTAGAGGTTTCTAGGTCCGTTTCTTTTTTGTTTTTGGTCTATTTTTCGTACGTATACATGGAGTCTCCTTCTGACCCTTTAAAAATGGGGTTACTCAAAATTGAGGGGTCATGACCCCTTTTCTAGGGGTCAGGGAGACTCCAGGTAGGTCCTCCAGATTTGAGAGGTTAGAATAAGGGTACCGTTTCTTTTCTATTTTTGTCTTTTTTAGTACCCCCAAAAAAAGAAAGTGTAAAAGGGCACCTAGCTGGGGGACCTAGACATGAATCCGTATCTAACCCCTACCCAACCCCAACCTGCTAATTGAAACAAACCTAACATGGATCCACCCAACCCCAAACAGTTGTGCTTGTCACTACCTCTTGCTATCTTTCAACCTCTTGTCATCTTTGTTTAAACCATGGTGAAAGAACCATGGTTTCTTTACACCACCTTGTTAAAACCCACTTTTGCATCAAGCCACTGTTGCTTCAACCGTGGCTTGGTTATTCAAACAAACTTGGTTGGCGGCAAACTTGCTGGAGACAAATGGACCATGGCCACCTTGCCAGGGTACCCTCCATTGGACCAAATTGGTTCTAACAATCAGCCAATGGCCCCTGTGAGGCAAACTACAAAGAGGTCGAAATTCACCCGCTTCACAACGTGGAGATCCCTGGATGACCATTAAAGCGTTCTTTCGAGGAGCAAATCGACACAAACTGGTTTCAGCAAAACAATCCCCGATGTTCCCTTTAAGGTTTAAAGGGCAACCAAAAGGAGGTGGTTCAAGCAGCCCCTCCCTTCAGAGAAGTGGATCAAACCGCTTGGTTTAAGCCAGGTGCGAAAGCGCACTGGCGGCCCTTTTGCGATATGCGAATGCAAAGTCGAAACGTGTTTGACAAAACTGCTGCTATGTGCTATGCCATTGCTATGTCTGCTGCATAGCGGGCCATACGTGTCAGCCCTCATGAGAGAGGGCGATTGCGTCTCGGGCCAGCTTGGCCACGGCGAAACTGACTCATTATTTTTCTTTGTCGCCGTGGACCTGGCTGTCCTCTGAGTCTTCAGCTGCCACCTCCTGCGCCAGCTGCTCTCGCCTTGCTTGCGGCGTTCCGCCGCTGCCGCGTCTCTTCCTGCCTGGGGTCGGCTGACCGCCGGGAATGTTGAGCTCGCTTCAGCTGACAAAGTTGGCTTGGCCTTCACGAAGAAAAGTCTTCAGGCTTGTCTTGTCGCGATTCGCCTTGGTCAAGACATCAGCCATGTTCTGTCCCCGTCAATCCACCTCACGTGGACATTGGGTCTCCTGACAGTCTCCCTGACCAAGGCGCCCTCAATTGCCATCCGCTTGTCCGTGGATGTGGTGGCTGGTCTTCGAGCCCTACGGTGGACACTTCGGGGTGAGCAGGCTGGACGAACTCACAACCTCTCGACCTTCTTGACGGTTATGATCTGCTTAGCGGAGTTGGTCAGCGGCTGGTGTGGCAAGTCTCAGGCGTACCCTACCCCAAGGAACTATGTCGTGCCATTTGTCAAGGGCTGGTTCAGAGCATGAAGATTGACTTCGTGGCTGCTGGGCTTGGCAACAACTTCGGGAATGCCGCGGAGGATGAAGAGGACGAAGAGATGCCTTCAGTTGAGGCGGCATCGCCCACGGAGTTGGATGAAGAGACAGAGGCGGAGGAACCATGGTCCGGAGATCACTGGATGGTTGAAGGTAAGGACCAGGTCATCCGCATTCATGAAGTTCCACGGCAAGCTTTGTTCACACAGCGGGTGGCCGGATTGCCGAGTACTTCGCGGCGGACGGTGGCTCACCTACACGGCGGAGGTCAGCTGGAGGATGATTGGACGAGACCCGAGAATGCTCATCGGCAATTGGAGAAGCCCTGGACGGGACGCACCATTTCAAGTTAAAGGCGCCGGTGGCGGAATGGGATCAGTCTCTGGTGCAACCTGGGACTCCGGCCCCCGGTGTGGCAGCACCCAGTACTCCAGCGGCAGCAGCAAGTTCACAGCCAGATCCTCGGGAGCGAGGACAAGACAGCTTCAGCGAGGATTATGGACGTTGGAGAAGGGTGAGGAGCTACGAGTGCTTCTTGCCCGGACCCTGGAAGACATGATGGCTGGTGATTGGCAGGTGATGAAGCTCGACGGCGATTTGGGCAAGGAATGGGTGAGATGTTCGCCTCATCCTGTGTCCACAACAGCTCCAAGGATGAGGAAGCCCCAACCACATGGAGATCCTCTTGCACTACCACTCGACTTTGGAAGTACCAGATGGGAGCAATGGACCAACATGGCTCCGAGCTCTCAGGCGCGACCTCTTCCACAACAGTCACGTCAGCTCTACGTGGCGCTGTTTGGGCAGCTGGCTCATGCGAATGAGCGGGAGGTGGAAGCTTGGACTACTATGCAGTACCGAGAACGAGCTGATGGATACGATGCCAGCTTCAGGTGGAGCTGGTTTCCTGGATTCGGAAGAGTCCAAAGCCCTCCCAAGGAGGCTTTCCGGTGGAAAAGGACAGCGATGAGGAGTTACGAGCCCACCGACGCCGATTAGGAGATGACGCAGCAGCAGCCGCAGCAGCCAGAGGAGGCGCCAGCAGAGAAGAAAGCCGAGGAGTCAGAAGATCTGGATTTCTTCAAAGGCAGGGATGCGCAGCGGAAGAAGCAATGGGCGGCATCAACTCCAACGCCTCCCATTTTGGAACGAGAAGGTGTGGAGATTCCGGTCGGACCCGAGTTTGCCGCGGAGATTGATGATTACCAGCAGGCAACTCCCGCTGGACAACCTTCGGTTCTGCCAGATGAGGAGATGAACCCGGACCACGAGGCGATGGAGAGAGCAGCCAAGCGGCCAGTTCCTGGACAAGAGAGTGCGTCCTTCGCCATGAAGGTTTTCGAGGAGCCATACTTTCTCGAAACCCAGGCGATCGCTAACTACGTGCGGAACCAGACAGCCTTTCAGAAAGCCGGCCTTGAACAGGAGGACTTCCTCTTTGGTGTCAAGCGCAACGACTTACCTGGCCTTGACGGATGGCGAGCATGCTTTGGCGGCAGCGCCGGGAGGCCAACCTGCCGGACAGAAGAAGGGCCAGAAAGAGGCGAAGCTTCATGACTTACCAGCAGAACAGCAGCAGCTTTTCAACGGCCCGGGCTGTTCCGACGAGAAGGAATGGAAGGCCTGGATGTCAAAGGCCGCATGCGATGCTCATCATCACAACAAGATGGGTGAGAACAAACAAGAACGAGAGCATCCACAACGCCGACTTCCTGGCAAAGTCCCGACTGGTGGTTCAGGGTTTCAAGGACAGATCTCTGGGGCAGTACTGGCGGGATGCTCCTACGGCCTCGCATCTTGCAGAGAGGTTTGTGCCTCAGCGTTTGCTCCTACATGCAGTTCATCTTGCTGTCCAAGGACATCAAGAACGCCTGTATACTTCTCAGGGAAGGATGTTGGAAGGGAGGTTTACCTGGAGCAACCTCGTGGTGGACTACCAGGTCTCAACTCTTGAAGGCGAAGAAAGCCATCTATGGCTTCTCCGAGGCGGCAAGATTGTTTTGGCTGGCTTTGAAGGAGCACCTCATCAGCGACGGCTGGAAGAAGGAGAGCAGACTGGAGCCTGCCCTGTTCTACCTGCGGGTAAATCAAGAGCTAAAGGGCATCCTCGTCACGCATGTGGACGACCTGGAGGGTGGCGTCGCAAGTGATTACTTCGACAAGGCCTTCGCACGTTCGTCTAAGGCCCTGGAGTTCGCCACCAACCACGTGAAGAACTTCATCTTCCGAGGGCGCGAGGTGAAGCAGCATGACGACGGCAGCATCGACGTCAGCATGGCCAACTACGCGCTGAACATGAAGAAGCTGCACATCTCCAACGAGAGGAAGAAGCAGTTGGAGGCGAAGCTCACAAACGAGGAGAAGAAGCAATTGGAGAGTTTGGTCGGAGAGCTGAACTGGATCGTGCGGCAGCTGCGGTGTGATCTGGCTTATGAGAATGGCTGCATTCAGAGGTGCAAGGCTGAACCCTGCGTGGCTGACCTGGAGACTCCGGCAGCGCATCACCCAGGTCAAGCGGGCAGCCAACTTCCGGATGCGCTACTGGCCGGATGACGGCAGTTCTCATCCACCTAGCGGATTGCCAATGGGACCCCCGAGCACGACGAGTCCATGAAGTATCGCAGCGTTGGTGGGTACTTCCTCCTGCTGGCCAACGAGGGCGTTCTCAGAGGAGAGACGGTGCGCGCCAACATTTTGTCTTTTCAGTCGTCTCAGACAAAGCGGGTGCGCCGAAGTACTTTAGCGGCGGAGGCAGCACACTTGGCGGAAGCAGTGGAGGCTGGAGACTGGTTGGCGGTGCTACTTCATGAAGCCCTTCATGAAGACCTGGACCTCCAGCAGTGGGAGAAGCTGACCTCGGGCATACGTCACAGATGCTCGGTCGGTCTACGAATATTTGCAGAAGGACTCATCGACCGCTGGAAGCCCGTAACGAACTCCTCCGCCAGAGTGTAGTCTCTTTTCAGAGCAGCCCAGGTGCGGCGGTCCTGAGCCCTCAGCCAAACCTCGGTCCGATCCAGCTCCTTCCGCCGCCGATCTGGTAGTTGCCCTTGTCGGTCTCCACGAATAATCCCGCGGTCCTTCTGCAACGTGAAGCCCTTGCCCCGGGACACCTCGACCTCATAGGCGATCTCGCCGTAAAGCAACGGGAATGCAGCCTCCTCCATGTAGTACATATAAAGGTCACCGCTGTTGGACTTGCAGGATCCAGGTTCTGGCTCATGCATCCATTTGCCTCTCGGGATGTCTTGGCCGAGCCGCAACCTCAAGAACTGCTTGGCGCAGCCCATTCTTCAACACAGCCTCCCCGCGGTAGAAGCTCTCCAAACGCTCCAGTAGGTCTGCCATCATGCCAGAGGTCAGCCTCTTCGATGATCTCCACCGATGGGCTTTGGCCATCATCTTCTTCCTCCTCCGGCATCTGAGCCTCCTCCACCAGGTGGGCGTAGGGCTTGCCGCGCCCCTTGCCTGCGGTGAAAACTCACGCCCTTCTCCTTCTCGTGCAGGTCGAAGCAGGATACCCGCAGCGCCTGCTCGATGCCCTCCTGGTTGTAGGCGGTCTTGTTGGCCAGCAGGATGGCTCGTCTGTCCTCGCGGGACAAACCACAGCCCTTCAGAGTGAAGTAGGCCAGCAGATCACTGGACATAGCAAAGGTCTCATCCAGGTCCTGCAAATCTGCCCAGTCCTGCTTCTTCTGCCTGAGGTACTGGTCGATCGGCTGTCCACGTCGGCGGTGCACCGATTAGCGCTCGATGCTCTGAAGCGCCGCGAAGACCCGACCTTCTTCAGCTTCGTGCTGTCCATCACCAAGTTCTGCACCGCTCTCCCAGCCTCTCCGTGGAGCCCATCGATCAGGCACTTGGCAAAGCGCTGCTGTTTCTTCTTCAGATCAGCCCTTCATCCTTGCCATCTCCCTCCAGGTGACTGAAGGCGAAAAGCACCCTCCTCCGGTACTCCTTCATGAGGTGCGGCTGGACCCCGGTGAAGTGCGGGATGCCGTCCCGATCGCAGATGATCTCATCATCCCTCCAGAAAGCCCGGGATGGAACGGCATCCCCGCCAGCCATGGCGCGGGCCACGGAGCAAGCTCCGCTACCAGTGCGAAAGCGCACTGGCGGCCCTTTTGCGATATGCGAATGCAAAGTCGAAACGTGTTTGATAAAACTGCTGCTATGTGCTATGCCATTGCTATGTCTGCTGCATAGCGGGCCATACGTGTCAGCCCTCATGAGAGAGGGCGATTGCGTCTCGGGCCAGCTTGGCCACGGCGAAACTGTCTGCCATGCAACCGGGGCTGATTTCCACACCAGGTTGAAACTTGGCCCGGAAACAGCAAACCTCCTCTGCTCAGACCCTAAAACGGAGAAGACCCCAGTCAACGAAAGGACCCCATTTGCACTTCTAGGTTTTGGTGAACACCCCCATGCTACCGTAAACAACCAAAAACTCCCTGAGTGGGCTGGCCAAAAAAACGTCTGCCCCACCCCACCAAAAAACCCTCCATGGAACCCAAAGCGCCAAAACCGCCGAAACCGCGGAAACCAAAGCCGGGCAGAGGTTTTTTTCGGTCCTCGAATCGGTTGCCCCCCAGCTTCACGAATTGGAGCTTGCCCGCCAGCGCCGGGAGCCTCAGCCGATTGGAGGGACTGATCGGTGAACCTGACACGGGTTCAGGCACTGGTGGGGTGACAACTTGTATGTGAGCAGGAGGCGCAGGGAGCTATGCCATGGCTGAGGTGTGTCAAAAATGAGCAAGTTTTGGAGGCTGAACTCCCAGCAAGTCTTCGCCCCGAACCCCGGGCCTCCCGACAAAAGGACCAACCGGGGCTTGCCGAACAAGCGGCGGCCCGCTGAAGCGAGTCATCGCGGAGGACAGCACCTCCAGGGAGGTCATGTTCGCCAGGCTTGGCAGGCGGCCAAAAAGCCGATTGGAGGTCCTGAGCAAGAAAAATCCCCAGAAGCCTCTCCCCAACTCCCCGGGTTGCAGCAGGCAGGCCACCATTCAAACAATGGTGGGGTTGATATAACCACACTTGTTTGCCAAGCGATTGCGATCATCCACATGGGTCTCTCAGGACAGGAGTGTCTTTTTGCCAGCTTTTGTCAGGAAAGGAATCCTTCACTACGAGGATTTCGATCATTCGGATCCACAAAAGGTGGCAACAAATGACCTCCCTGTTCTGAGAGGCCCGAAGAACAAGGAATCCCGAGAAGCCTGGTTCAGGCAGGCCATTCAAACAATTTCTCAGTTCTCATTTATCAAATCATGCGAGTCTGGAAATGCAGTATGGCCGCATTGGTCTTTTGCAAGCCTTCGGACAACTACATTTGGGAATCCTCGTTCATATAACCAAGGGATTGCGATCCATTGGGTCAACCTTTCTTTTGATGAGCGTTGAACCCTAGGGCTCCGGGCACAAGGAACTTGGTGCACCCAGAGGCTGGGGCTTTCAGTGGAAGACCCCTCCATTGGACACCTGGGAACCCGCACCCATTCAAATCATCGGCATGATCGATTTTTGAAGGATAGAACTTGGCGGCCACAAAATCGGTCCAACAAAGTGTAAAGTATTCCATCTTGGGGTTGGATTGGGGGGTATCTGAGCCCAGCGCAGTGATAGAATCTTGAGCTTCTTCATGTTGCATAGCCAGCCGGGAAACTCGCCCTGCAGCTTGTTCCAGCCGACATCGAGGATCTGTTCGGCTGGTCGAAGACATCAAGGCGTTTGCGTGTGTTCCCGATTCTGGGCTGTTTAAAACGGGGGGCCCCCCAATTTAAGCCGCCCCCTAGCTTGGTTGACGTTGGAAGGGGAGCAAAAATTTAAACTTTAGCAGTTAAGTGGGGATTTCCCACTAAACCACAATCAGCAAAATGTAAATTGTTTCCCAACAACAACCAGGCTAGGACAGAACTACAAGGGACACCACCAGCATCTAAAACAGGGATCTTGCGGATTCATTTTGAACCCCATGCAAATGCAGCCACTATTTCGCTGGGCTGCGCAGGGGGGCAAAAGTAGGGGCATGCACAAATGGACTGCGAAACAGAGCCATTCGCTTTGGCTTGAATGGTGTTTGCTCCCAATGTGCGAAAGTCTTGAAATGCATCCAATCTGCGCATCCCCCAGATAACATGCGTTTACTTTAGACGACTGTGAGATCATCTTCCAGACCGCCGACCGTACGAAGCCAAAGAATCAACAGCACCACGTGCCGTCCAACCCCTCAAACTACCCAAAGAGTTGGAATTCACCAACCAAAATGTTGGGTTGGGTTAAATCGCAATCGCCCCCATGTTTTAGCTGAGTATGTTGAGGGTTCAGGCAGCTACACTTGCACACTTCTGGAGTAGCGGAACAAATCATTCCTCTATTCCAGGGCCAGGCACTTCGGGGGTAAGCAAAAAAAAAAACGGATGCTTGACACATAGGGCGGAAACCCTGGGACCCTGAGGCACGGGTGTCTTTTCATAGGAAACCACCAGGAACAGACCGCCATACAGGGTCGGTCCCTTCTTTCCAAAGATCACATTGATGACCTTCTGTGCCAACAGCTTCCTTGTCCTGAAAGGTAAAGATCTCAGAAAGGTTGGGCCACTTCCAAAGAGTAACCTGCCAGACCCGCGTTGGCCTGTTCATCGGAAAATCGCACAGATGTGACATAAGCAGCATCAAATACAACGAGTCATCAATGATGTATGGCATGGGAACAGCGGGGACACGGAAGGTAACACGACACACCATGAAACAATCATGATTGTCAACTGCATGGAAAGCAACATGAACCGAACGCACACCTCCATCGTAGCATGGATGGGGAACGGACATCAAGCGAACACACAAACATGTGGCTAGCCTAATCAATTGTGGGTTGCTCCATCTCTGTATCCCTGCAACGCCCCTCTGGACAATCACCTTCGACCCGTCCACATGCACACCAAGCAAACCAAGCGGAAACCAAACAAACGGAAAACAAAACACAACGGAACCAAAGCAAACAAACCGCTCCCAACCAACGGAAAACAAACAAAAAAAGAACCAAAGCAAACCAAGCGGAAACCAAACAAACGGAAAACAAAACAACGGAACCAAAGCAAACCAACCGCACCCAACCAACGGAAAACAATCAAAAAAGAACCAAAGCAAACCAAGCGGAAACCAAACAAACGGAAAACACAAAAAACAATGGAACCAAAAAAACCAACCGCACCCAACCAACGGAAAACAAACAAAAAAAGAACCAAAGCAAACCAAGCGGAAACCAAACAAACGGAAAACAAAAAACAATGGAACCAAAGCAAACCAACCGTACCCAACCAACGGAAAACAAACACAAAAAGAACCAAAGCAAACCAAGCGGACACCAAACAAACGGAAAACCAAAAACAACGGAACCAAAGCAAACAAACCGCTCCCAACCAACGGAAAACAAACAAAAAAGAACCAAAGCAAACCAAGCGGAAACCAAACTAACGGAAAACCAAAAACAACGGAACCAAAGCAAACCTACCGCACCCAACCAACGGAAAACAAAAGAACCAAAGCAAACCAAGCGGAAACCAAACAAACGGAAAACACAACAACGGAACCAAAGCAAACCAACCGCACCCAACCAACGGAAAACAAACAAAAAAGTGACCAAAGCAAACCAAGTGCAAACCAAACAAACGGAAAACAAAAAACAATGGAATCAAAGCAAACCAACCGCACCCAGCCAACGGAAAACAAACAAAAAAGAACCAAAGCAAACCAAGCGGAAACCAAACTAACGGAAAACCAAAAACAACGGAACCAAAGCAAACCTACCGCACCCAACCAACGGAAAACAAAAGAACCAAAGCAAACCAAGCGGAAACCAAACAAACGGAAAACACAACAACGGAACCAAAGCAAACCAACCGCACCCAACCAACGGAAAACAAACAAAAAAGTGACCAAAGCAAACCAAGTGCAAACCAAACAAACGGAAAACAAAAAACAATGGAATCAAAGCAAACCAACCGCACCCAGCCAACGGAAAACAAACAAAAAAGAACCAAAGCAAACCAAGCGGAAACCAAACAAACGGAAAACAAAAAACAATGGAACCAAAGCAAACAAACCGCACCCAACCAACGGAAAACAAACAAAAAAGAACCAAAGCAAACCAAGCGGAAACCAAACAAACGGAAAACACAAAACAATGGAACCAAAAAATCCAACCGCACCCAACCAACGGAAAACAAACAAAAAAAGAACCAAAGCAAACCAAGCGGAAACCAAACAAACGGAAAACCGAAAACAATGGAACGAAAGCAAACCAACCGCACCCAACCAACGGAAAACAAACAAAACAGAACCAAAGCAAACCAAGCAGAAAACACACAAACGGAAAACACAAAACAATAAAACCAAAGCAAACCAACCGCACCCAGCCAACGGAAAACAAACAAAAGCAAACCAAGCAGAAAAAAAACAAACGGAAAACAAAAAACAATAAAATCCAAGCAAACCAACCGCACCCAGCCAACGGAAAACAAACAAAAAAGACCCAAAGCAAACCAAGCGGAAACCAAACAAACGGAAAACAAAAACAATGGAACCAAAGCAAACCGACCGCACCCAACCAACGGAAGAAAAAAAAAAAAAAAACAAGAACCGAAGCAAACCATGCGGAAACCAAACAAACGGAAAACAATAAACAATGGAACCAAAGCAAACCAACCACACCCAGCCAACGGAAAACAAACAAAAAAGAACCAAAGCAAACCCAGAGCTTCCATTGACTTCGGAATACGCATACTATAGGGACGAGGGTGTGAGAAAGCGTCGATGCTGTATAACAGGGCCGACCCTGGAAACTAGCGTCGATGGCCCGTTGAAGATGGAATGGCCCAAGCTGGTGTGCTGCAACAAAACATTTTGAGTCGATGCTGTGGCACACACACACATGCGCAAACTATATATGCCGTGGCACATGTGCATTAAATGCGTTAAATGGCGCATTACATGGTGGCCTGCGAAACCCGGATCAAGCAATGGACGATTGGGCCAATGATGGCCAGTGATATGGCCATTGATGGCCAATGAACCGAGCTCGATGGAGAATCAAACGCCCTGTGCTTAGACCCGCAGCTTGGATTCAGAGCTATATTGCTGCAAGGGGAGCCATATCAAATTTTCGGAGCCACATCGTAAGTCGGGGACATGACCTTCCAATATGAATTAATGGCTCTCCTAGCTGTATGGCCCTGCATCAGCATTTGACACTGCATGTGCGCTGGTGCCTTGGAGCTGGACATGTTTCCTTGTTTTGCGTTTTGGCTACTTAGCTAGTGCGTCAGTCCCCTTTTAGAGCACGCAGCCATGGATTCTGGCGAAACTGATGCTCGCGAATTTAAGTTTGCTGAGCGGCAATGCTGTCTCAAGAACTGTGCCAGAGTTTATGCAACCCTGGCCTGCTTAGCCCGCATTGCATATGAATGTTCAACATGGTCCCCAGGGTTGTCGGCCAACTCGTGCCAGGACTGGCTACTGGATATTGGTGTGTTGGACCGGCAGTACTTGAAGAAGCTCAAGACCCAACAGCTTCAGAATGAATCGAAAAAGCAGGCCGGTCTTCCATCTTCCAGTTTGGTTCATATGACCTATCCTGGCTTCATGCCCATGTGTGCTGGTCTATTCGTAGATCTAGAGTGCCTACAACCAGGCACATGGAGAGATGCCCCAACTTGAGCTACGCATCGAAAACGCAGAGCCCAAGCTCGAAACACAGGCGCCGCGGTTTTGCGATGCACACAGTACTATTTGCGCATGTACCTTATATGTGCTGCAGCAGCAGGTGCACCACAACTTTGACCGCTTGAAGAAGTGGTTCAAGATATTTGGGAGAAACAGCGCCACTGGCAAAGAAATCGAGGCGCATAAATTGTTTGTAGCTAGAGCGGCTGCTAGAACCAAATAGAGCTGTGCTCAAGTTGAGTGTTTCTGATAAAGTTGCTCGCTCATAGACGCGGTCACGTCAGACGGCCCTCCTGGAGGCCAACACAGAGTTCGGCTTTCTGACGGGCTCTTTGCTGAAGGACTGCAGGGTGCCTCTGCGCTTTGTCGTTTGCTTTGCTCTGGTACCCACTAGTCCTAAAGCATACAGTTTTACTAACTGTGCCACCCCAACTTGCGTTCATCGGCCACTTTTCCTGCCTGGTGCCAAGGCGCAGGCATATGAAATTGCCTTGAACTTCCGGTCGCTGGTGTCAGATTTCCTGGTGTCGGAGAGGTGCTCTGAAGGGACCAGGCCCTTTGTGATGATGGATCGATATATCGGTAGCGTTTTGCTTGGTGCAGTGGGCAAGCACCTGCAGGTGTGTTCCTTTAAAGCTTTGCAGGCCTGGGCCTTTCTCGAAGAAGATGAACAAGCTGAAGCCGATCGTGCGGGCTGTCTCTGGGCCCAGGATTCAAAAGAAGGCTTCGCCGCGTTTTCGTTCTCTGCTGCAACAGTTTCTAAACAGTTTCGAAATATGTTACTCTTTCAAGGGTGTAATTGCAATCAACCATAGCCTTTAATTCACGCCCCCTTGATCCACGCTAGCGCCTGCCAGAGAAAGCTGTTGTTCGTTCAAATTGTTTTGTTGGTTTCTTCACCGCAGAGCAAAGGAGTACATTTATAGCGTTATTGGTAAATTTGCCAACTCGACTCATGGGCTTTCCGAATTTTAAATGTCTCCACACCCGCGGGGTAAGTACGATTCTACATGTACAAATGCTCCAGCTGATATGTCGCTTCAAATTCAGCTGCGGGGTTCAACGCATGCTAAAATTGTCGGTGTCGGACCCCAACAAAATCCTGAACGTTCGTCCAGTAAGAGACTGGACACATTTGTAAACTCGAAAAAGTAGGACAAAAGGCAGCCATTTGAACACAGAGGACCAGTTTGCCATAACACATGTGAATGGCCATCAAGGAAAACAAACTGTACATGTAGAAGTTGGGCAGCGGAGCTCCTTGGCCCCTTCCGGCTGTGCAGGGCAGCGAGCAAATCCTGCCGGAGGACAGTGTCGGTTCGATTGGCTGACTTGCTTTGGGGTGAGGGTCTGACACGTTCTTCGGGCAGAACCGTGGTGAGTTTTTACATTAATCACAAGGGGGATGCTGATGGCGCCCGATCAAAGATCAAGAAAGTTTAAAGGTTTGTGGAAACCAAAAGTTGTTCGCCAATTGGAGGGGCTGGACTGCACATGAGTGTTGGGCATACTGCTTCAAGTCTAGAAGTAGTGAATTATGCAGCCTTCAAATTTGGGATTCAAGGATCAGTTGCTCAAGCCTACTGAACCCCTCAAACTCTGCACTCCACAATCTGCACTTTCTGAAATTACGTTTTCGGAAATCTCCTGAGACCAATATGCCATAGACAGGTAAGGGGAGAACCCACCTAGATGTACACATTTAAAGCCTCAAAGCGTTCTCTAAGCTGAATGTAAGGCCGGGAAGACAAGCGACGAAGAAGAGGAAGCAGAAGAAGAGCATATGTCAGAAGATGATGCGGAAATTGACCCAGAAGAAAAAGAGCAGCAGGCGCAAAGCCAAAGCAACAAAGCTGAAAAAGAAGCAGCTTCTCTTGCAACCAGGGAGAAGGAAGACGAAGACAATGCAGAAGATGATGTGGAAGACAGTTGCGAGGAGGTTGAGGAGGATGAGAATGACTGTGAGGATGAGGAGAATGATGGTGATGATGAGGAGAATGATAGTGAGAGTGACACACCAGCAGCAGCGCTGCAGCAAGAAGCTCAGGGCAGCGCAGAAGCAGCACCAGCGGCAAAAGAAGAGGATGAAGGGCAATGCAGCGTAGCGGCAGCAGCAACAGCAGCAGCTGATGATTGCAACAGCAACAACACTTTAGAAGAACAAACGTGTGAAAGGAGTGATGAGGCAGCAGACGAAAGTGCTGATGAAGGCCAGTCTTGTGCGGAAACAAGTGAAGAGCAGGAGGAAGCGTCAGCAGATGAGGAGGAAGGCAGCAAACAGGAAAACGAGGAGGCTGTAGCGTCGGTGGCAGCAGAAGAGGATGATGGCGATGAACTGCTTTCAGAACATGAAGGCAGCGGAGGTGAGGCTGATGATGAGGCAGCAGCACCCGCAACTCTTGAGAATGATGGTGAAGCTGACGCAGCACCAGCAGCGCCTGAGCAAGCAGCACTAGCAGCGAACAAAGATGATGAAGGACAATGCAGCATAGCGGAGGCGGCAGCAACAGCAGCAGCTGATGATGGCAACAACAAAACGTTCGCATCACAAGTGTGTGAAGGCAGCGATGAGGCAGCAGAGGAAGGCGTGGATGAAGATGAGTGTGGTGGAGGAGCAGTAGCAGAGGAGGGCAGCAGCGACCAGCAAGGAGAGAATTGTGATGAGTCTGGTGGTGAGACTGCTGATGATGAAAGCAGCAACCAGGAAGATGGTGCGGCTTTTGCCGGAGGGGCAGCAGCAGCAGCAGCCACAAGCACACATGCTGAGGAGGGTGTCGGACATCAGGCAGCGAAGGGCTTTGCAGCAGAGCAGCCAGCAAGCGCAGAAGGCAACCGCAGCAAGGACAAGGCTTGGCCCGGCTGGGAGGGACACAAAACCCAAAGGCGGCTTTTCTTCAACCCGCCCAACTTGGGAAACCCCGATCTTTGACTACGTCCCCTGCTAGCAAGGCGGCATCAACCAACTTCTCTTTCACCTGGTCCGGGTGGGAACGCTTTAAGACAGATAAGGACGTTGCGACCCCTGCCAACTTACCAAAATCAGAAGCCTTAGCAGGGGCAGCAGCGAGGTATAAGTCAGACAAAGCCGAGCAGCCATGGCCTGGTTTAAGATATTAAGCGCCACTTCACCGCACACAGCCTCCTTGAACGATGACCTAGAACTGGGGTGCAGAGTTGGCAGAGGCGCAAGCAAGAACAAACAGAAGACGGATGAGGCCAGTTTGCTGCCATTCCAACTCAACATCTTCAGGTACTCCTCTTGACATTTAAAACTTCACACAGCCTGGCTGCAACAAGCAAGCAAACAGATTTTTTGGTAGGGCGTAGTGAAACGCATGTGACACACACACACAAGCATATATGGGCAGGTGTCCGATTTTGCGGTTGGTTCTGTCTGGAGAACCCCGAAATTGAACAATTGTACAGTTGTGCTCCTGCAGGCTGTCAACATCTCCCTCCTGGACCCGTGCGAAATGGAGACGCAACCACTGATCTTGTTTGACACAGGGAAGCCTGACGCGCAGCACGAACACCCCGACGAAGGGGCAAATGGCGCTGAAGCCTCCGATGATGAGTGTCGCACCCAAAGTGGGAAAGTTGGTATCACAGGAACGTTCCAGGCTCGTGTGGGGACCATTTTCAGTGGCTATACTAGTCAGTTCCAACTAGAAATCGTATGTCGCTAGTGTATGTTAACTTTGTAAGGAGGCCGATCTGTTGCCCCATATACAAGTGTAAATGGCCCCTTCTCCGGAAAGCCGACATCAGCCAAGTAAAACTGCCAACCTGCCCCATCATTTCCCGACTCCCACTGCCAGGACCGCCGTCCTTTGCAAGCAGAGCACGTTGAAGTGCCGGAGGAAGTTGAGAAGCACCTGCAGCAGGTGATCGCAGCCATGCACCGTGAGCCGAAGGATTCCAAGGAAGATATCTTGCAGGCACACTGGTTGCAAATTTCTTCACAGTTGGAGATCCACATTTACCTGTTCCTGTGGGGGGGGCTTCATGTTCTTGCGAGGCGCAAAGCAGGATCCGGCAAGCGATGAGAAATGCTGGGAAAGATACATGTGAGGAGGCAGATGATGCAGAGAACGCAGGCCAAGCAAAACAAGGCGGCAAGGGGCGGGACCGTGGCAAGGGGCAGCTTTTCTCTTCCTCTTTGTCACGGAGGCAGCCCTTGACCTTTTTTTGCTTGCCTTGGACTCTTGGTCTGTAGGCGAGTTGCTGTCAGGGTTGGGTCTTTTGCGATCTGGCGTAGGTGTAGCATTCTCTTCTGTGTTTGGCAGGTCTGCCTCCTTGTGATCATGCGCTGGTTGATTGAGCGGCGGCGCATCTGTTGTTGCAGGCTCTCCCACGCCCCCTGCCACGGCCCCGCCCCTTGTACAACAACTGGTGGCAGCCCCATTGAAAATCCCACTCCGGAGACCGTAGCAACAACTGGTGAGAGTCCCTGAGGCCTCAGAGCTCCCGGCCAAGGCAGACCAGGAGGCTGCACAGCCTTCAGCACCTTCCGCGTCGCAGGGCAAAGACATCAACGGCGCCCAAAGTTGATGAGGGCACAACCCAGCCAGCCGCATCCAAGCAGCGCGGGGCAAAATCAAGGATTTCCAGAGTTGATGAGGATACAACCCGTGAATTGAAACAAGCCTCGTCTGCACAGGCATCACTGCAGGGTTACAATGCAAGCCCCCCACCAGTTGAATTGCCAAGCCCTTGGCATGTTGAATGATGTTGAATGAACAATTTAGTCAAACATCAAATTGGGTTTCTGGCGTTCGCGTGAACATGCAGGAATGCACCTCTTCAAATCAATGTTGAAATTCAGTGTTTGTTTTTGTTTTCTTTATTGTGACCCATATGCAGCTGCAGGCTCTTTGGCATTTATGGGTTACCATCTCAACTGCTTCCCCTGCAACAGGTGTTGGAAAAGATTCGTGCGCTGAAGCTAGATGACATGCTTATCTGTGACAACCTCAAGAGTGGCAAAAGGCTTCCCAGCTTATTGGAGGGGTTACATCTGTTTTTTTGTCATCCTGGTTGCTAAGCATGGACCTTGTACTTGCTTTGCGCCTTTCTCAGGTCGGTCAGCGTCCGCCCGCCGGCGCATGCCTCAACGAGGAAGGCGATTCAAATACTCTTTGACACGCAGCCCGGTCTGACCGACATATATTTCACCGTGGGACTTCGAATTCATAGGGCAACTCACAAGTGCACACCTTTTGGATCATGGCACTTGACCGCGTACTATGTGAACGAGGTCCCAGAAACCCTGATACCTTTGGCAGAACAGAAGGGGTACATTGTCAATCGAAAGGGCGGGGTGAACATCAACATGAAGCGGGAGGGATTCCGCGAAGGGTGCTTTGGCAAAAGTTGCAAATTCGACATTGCCACATGTTGATGCACTAAATCAACACCGCGATGTTGGAGTCTACACGCTCTTGTGCCTGAGGTGGAATCTAGCTCGGCAACTTGGTGGCTGGATTGAGCTCGGGCCTGTTCAGGAGCCTCCCAAGGGGGACGAAGGGCTTAACAACTTGTAAACGAGGTGAACTGGCAACATGAATTCCAACAGCCGAAGCATGAACGACAAAGCACCAGGAGGCAGAGCAATGCATTAATGCAAACAACAAGGGCAACAACGACAACAGCAGCCGCAACAACAGCATCAGATCATTAGCAACGACAACGACAAACAACAACCACAACAACAAGAGAAGACACAAGAACAAAAACAAGATCAAGACCAAGAACAGCAGCAGCAGCAGCAGCAGCAGCAACAACTGCAACAACAGCAGCAACAGCAGCAACAGCAACAGCAACAGCAACAGCAACAGCAACAGCAACAGCAACAACAACAACAACAACAAAGAAAAGAAAGCGCAACAAAAACAAGAACAACAAGAACATCAGCAGCAGCAGCAGCAGCAGCATCAACAACTGAACACACCACAAACACCAGCCAACAACAAAAGACCAAGCGCAGGAATAAGAAGAATAAGACCAACCGCAACTGCTACCGTCCCTGTTTTTCCAGCACTGTTTGAGAAAGGGGGCCTTTTTTCGGGGGTACAAGCCTGCACATTTACCCTCCGATGCAAATTCGTGTGTGTTCCCAGCTGGGTGTTTGCTTTTTGAATAAATTGTATATGCGCATGTATGGGTGCCCCTTTTCGAATGTTTGGTTTAAAAGTTACGAACGTTTTTATATATCTATATGTGTTTGCGGGTTCCAGTACTAATTGTGACATACAAATTTCATGGCCAACACGCGCAACTGACCACTAGCGTGTCCCTCTTGGCTGGACGTTTTCCTGGTGCCTGACCCATGGTCACAGCTTAAAAGCTTTAAGCTTTAGCGGATCTCAGGCGCCGTGTGTATTACACATCGACAATCGTGTGGCAGAAAGGTGGTTTCGATCGACCATGTCAACACCCTCATATGCACTGGCAACTGTGTGCTACTCAATTCAAGTTCGCAGATGCCTAGTGCACATTAAGACTGTCACACGAATGTCCTGGGGATTGGTGATGAAGAACACATCATCTCTGGGGAAGTTAGGCTGAACATTCAGCACATTCAGGTGGGGCCTAGGCTGCCCACCTACGAACCTCAACGGCAAAAGAGACTTGCGGGCAGGCTGGGTGCGTTAGACAGATCTATGGCCATCGGTTTTGCTTTTCCTGACCCCATCGGTTTTGCTTTTCCTGACCCCATCGGTTTTGCTTTTCCTGATCGGCTTGCTTTTCCTGACCCCATCAACAAATTTGACCAGATACATGTACGAGGCTTTGGCTCCCAATTTGTACAATGTGCTTGACGGATCTGCTCAAGCCCATTTTTGGTCCATCATGATCATGATCATGATGCTAATTCCAAATTTAAAGAGCATGCCGCATTGAAAAACCTTGTCAGGGCAACCAGCTATGAGAACAGGAACTTTGGCTCGAATCAGTGCCTCAAAGGATTGGACTTCAAGGCAGTGCCTGCCAAGCCTGCGCCTGTCCACCCGCTCGCCCTGAGCAGCCGGAGCGCAGAACTGCTGATTGCGCTCGGCGCGCCTTTGGTCCTGCCAGGCGCCCAGAAAACACCACTATTGGGTCCGGGCAGGGGCTGTCACGAGCTACATGGTGAGACCGATTTGTAATTGAATTTTGCAAATAAATGTTGTCATATATTTACATGCAGTTAATAACCGCACTTGCTTCCCGTTTTTGTCATGAGGCTACACGCGGTCGACTTCATCGTGCAGACGACATCCCCGACATCCACGACTTCCCGGAGAGCCCGCCCGACACGTGTTAAATGCATACATGAACTGAGTGCTTCAAAGAGTGCCCGGGTTGATACATTCAGAATGTGCCAGGGCCTTGACATCTTCGAGGTGTTCAGTGGGACCGGCCGCATCTACGGCGCAGGATGCTGCGCCCTCACACATCATATATGCAAGTTGCACCAAAACAGAATTGCGGGCCCCTTTGAATGGTACTGTACACATGTGGGTGCCGAAAGCGATTTTAAAGCTGGCTTGGCCCGAGCGCCTTATTGCGGCAACAGTGGAGTTATATAGTTTTTTGCAACAGAAATGGACCACTGATTGATGTCATGCTCTGCACGTGTCCTTTTCGGTCACTTCTTTGTCTTTGAATTCGGATGGCTGAGGTCAAAAAGGCCTAAAAACTGGCTATCAACACGGTCAGCCAGATTGTCTATCTAGATCTCAATTTTCAATTGCAAGTGCGCGTGACACATATGCAAACATTTGACCTTGCTGCCACTCAGTGACTACTTTGAAGTGGAAAGCCGGCGTGGCGTTCAGAACGATTTGCTGGAGATGCCAGGATCTTTTCTCCAAATGTCACATTCCTTGCAAATTGCACTACTTGTTGCAAGGTTTGTGATCAGTGTTTATGAGATTTGCCTCCACCTGAGCAGACACTGAGACCTGGCCTGCTCTACGCCTTGAAAGCACACTTCGCCTCCGCCCCGCAGCATTGCTGTTTGGAGGTGTGCCCTGCTCTCTACTTGTTTGGATCAGCAGCGGCACCCACCTCCGAAATGAGAGCAACAGTTTTATGGGGCAGGGTGCTCTTGAGACTGTCATCAGGTCCAACAAGCTCCTATCGCGATTTGCGCTTTTAGTCCTCATTGCATTGGCCCGCTCGGTTTTCTGGTGTGCAGAACAACCTGGCAGCTCAGTGTTACCGCGAACCCCATATTACAAAATGCTGCTCGAGCTCTCTCCTTCGAAGCCGTTGCTGCGGCGAATGCCGGGCCCCCAAAGTCCTGGTGACTGTTGAGCGGCTAGCTGGCCCAGGTCCATGCTTCGGAAACTGGCACGGGGCTCGGGGTTGTAATTGGGCTCTGGCCGTTGGTCATGACCAGGGTTCTTCAAAAAAATGGGGGCCATGCATGATCAGTGTCCTTATGGGTAGGTACAGGCTCAGTTCTTGAAATTTAACACCTGGCTAAAAAATATGAGCCAGCGAAGGGGAGCAACATCGTCGGTATCACCTGCAACATCGATCCTTATAAGCATCACCGCTGGCAAGAGAAAATAAGCCACCCCAACGGGAGCAGCAACATCCTCAGCATCACCTGCAACATCCTCGGCATCACCAGGCTCAGTGATTGAATAGCTGGCAAGAGAAAATGTGCCACCCCACCTGGAGCGGCAACATCATCAGCATCTGCAACCTCCTTCATCTAAATTTCAACATGAGCCCGGTAATGCAAACCTGCTTTTAAAGAAGGCCTTTTGTTTGTAAACTCCGTTGCAGAAGTACTGCATGGCGTGAATCTGCACCTGCAAAAAATTTATTTTGTATAGGTTTTGGGACCGGGAGCATTCTTGCCAAACTGTTTGAAATATGT